AGGAGGTTGGCTGGCGGAGCGTGTCACAGGCAGCTCCAGGAGCGCCTTCCTGAAAGGCTCCAAATCATTGCTCTGGGAATGGGCTGATCCAGGCGCGAAAACATCTGGGGGGAGGATGACAGCAGCGGCTGGATACTGAGGAGGAGCTGGGTTCCCGTGGCTGTAGGGTTACCTGGGGCTGGAGGTGGGTGTGGAGTCATCCAGAAGGACTCCTAGAGGTGCAGCCGGTGCACCCTAACACTGGTGCCACATCCCTCTGTCCCCAAAGCGGTCCACGGTCACCCAGAAAAGTGGAGTGAGCCATGGTTCCCCTTGTCCTCTGCTCCCAGCTCTGTGGGTTGGATCTTCACACCCATTCCCACGTGTTGAGACGCTGCCTTGGTTCAGGACAGGCCTCACTGTCACTTCCTGGCTCATGGGGAGCCACTGCACGTAGTTCCATACTAGGGTCCCTGCACAGGGGCTCGTAGGCCCTTCAAGCTGGAGGGTTCCCAGGGCTGGAGCTGCAGCACCAAGGGATGCGTCGGAAAGGATCTCGTCCTGCGTGCTCACCCTGACACCCCACCCTGACTGGGGACCTGTGCCACTGCCTGCCCTGGCATCCATAGGGTGTCCAGCAACCTGCTGCTGTTAATGCTGTTGGTAGCCTCAGTTTCCTAACTGGGATGCCTGCTAATGGGGTGGGAGGAGGTCTTTGTCCCATGTGGAGTTCATACCTTTGGGATGTGGTGGTTGTGCCTGGGGTACTCAGCGGTCACACTGCAGCGGGGCAGTGTATGTTGTGCTGTGGAGGGCACATCTGGATGTGGGGACAGCACTTCGCTGGGATGTTCCCTTCCTTCTCCTTGCAGAAACAGGCTGGGAAAATACATCCCATGGGAATGTGGTGCCAGGCAGAAAAATGCCACTGGGCAGCTGGGGGCTTTGCCAGCTCAGGCTTTACCTGCTGCCACTGTTCCTCCTCTGCCACAGTCCTCGGGCTGTCACCATGCAGGGAAGGTGCAATGCGGTGTGACAGGCGGGGACGAGGCAGCGCGTGTGTCACCTCGTTGGAGCTTCTGGGCCGGTGACAGCCCCGGCTCACGCGTAGCCGGGCGTGTAATCCGCTTATGGGGGCACCGGCGTAGCCCTAGGCTCTTGCTGTCTTAAATCCCTGCTGCTGCTGGGAGTGAGGTCTGGGACAGTTGGAAAGCAGTTGTTGTAGGAGAGCTGTGCTACACCAGACAGAGGGGGTTTGGGGGTAAGGAACACTGCTGATGGGGTTCAAAGCCTGACTAGGCTGGTGTGGGGGTGCTGCAGCCTGAGATGGAGATGGGGAAAGGGGCTACAAAGCCATCAGGGAGCTCCCTTAGGGAGGTGCAGTGTCAGCCAAGGGCTGGTGGCACAGGTCCCTGGGACTGGGCTGAGCATGGATAGATGGGGATGGCAGAGTCTCTGCTACCAGTGTTGGGTGGCCTTGAAGCTGAGGTGGGAGGAAGAGTGGGTGCTGGGGTTAGGAGTGTGGCTGGAACCCAGGGACACTGAAGACGGCCGGAGAAGCACCCAGGCCCTTCTTTGCGGTTCATTGCCCCTGTCCCAGCATCACCCCATGCTTTGGGGCATTTTAGTGCTTTTCTGGTGACTGCAGCCCTCCCACAGCCGAGCAACCCTAGCTCCACGCCTCAGCTGCTCTGATGCATCTTGACATGTATCAAAGTGAATCATCATCCAGGTGACCCCTATGGTGACAGCTGGGTGCCACCTCAGGCTTCTCCTGGGGCCCTGTTAACCCTTTGCCTCCCCAGAGATGAGCTGGGCAAACCGAGGCAGGACTGCTGCAGGTCCTGCCATGGATCCCTGCCATGGGTGTCATCCCTGCTTCTTCCAGCCTGGGGTTGGGTCCTTCCCAACTGGGTATGTCAGGCCCAGGCGGAACAGCAACTTGGAGCTATGCTGGGAAACTTTAATTATCGTGTGAAAAAGTGTTGAGGTTTCAAACAGGCTTTCATGAGAAACCAGGTTTCTCCCCTCAAAGAGGATGGGAATCCCTGCTGGGGTGGTGCTCTGGGGTGGAGAGTGGGAGGGGACCTGGTGTGTGAGGGTATGGAGGAGGTTTCTGTCCTGGGATGGAGGAGGTTTTGTCCTGGAATGGAGGTGTTCCAAGGGCTTAATGTCCTCCTGGGCTGTAACCAGGCTTCATGCTCAGCACAGGGGAGGTGGTGGCAATGATGATGATGGTGTTGGTGGTCATGCAGACCCCAGGACCTGTCTTGCCACCTTCTTGACCAGTGGTGCTTTGCTGGTCCTTGACATCTCAACAACTGGATGGGAACTGGGCTTGGCTCTGCCCTGGGACTCCCTCTCCCCTCTTGCCTGCCCTCCCCTCACCCTCCAAGGCTGTGCCTGGCTGCTGGCTGCCGTGGGTACCCAGGACACGGTGCCTGCCCAGGGTGGAGTTATGCTAATGCAGCTCCCCATCCCGCTGTGCCGCTCACCATCACTTACCATCCTCTCCCAGCCATGAGTGACGCCGGCTCTGCCATGGCCACCGGCCCCGAGCTGCAGCCTGGGCAAGAGGTAGGGGGGCAGCGCCCCTCTCCAGAGGGGTGAGAGAGGGGCAGATGGGCATGGGGGACCCCAGGGACACCCCAGGGAGGTGCCATGGCCAATGCTTTGTCCCCGAGACAGCCTTGCTAGGGGAGCGCTTGCTGCAGGACCTTCAAGGAGGCAATGCAAACCTCCCCTCCCCATGCTGTAGCATCACTGAGGCCATTGGTGTGCCTGGGGTGGGGGATGAGGAGGACCCCTGAAAGGCTGGAGTCCCGTGGGTTGGAGCGGCAGTGGGGCTGGGAGCGCTTCGCGGTGGTGGCATCGTCTCTCATCCCATCCCATTGTCTCCCATCCGTCCCTCCCATGTGGCCCCTGGCTGGGCTGGTGCTGAGCCCCCCCAGGTCAAGGTCAGTGAGAAGGAGGATGGTGTGGTCACAAAGACCCAGTGAGTGCTATAAACGTGCTGGGGGAGAGGGGAGCACAGGAACCCCACAGCCCCCGCTGCAGGGGCACCTGCTGTCCCCCCAGCCTCGTGCCGTGACCCCCCGTGCCCGTGGTGGGGATCCCAGGGGGCAGGGGCAGGCGTGCGAGCACACAGCCCCAGCAGCACTGTGACCTTGTTTCCAGCCCGCTGGTTCGGTGCATCTTGCCTTGCCGTTGGCACGGCTGCCCTCCCTGCTGATGGAGCGGGGACATGAGACGGGGGGACACACACGTTCCCATGGAGGGCTTTCACCTCGAGGCCCTGATCTGGGGGGCACTGGCCCCCAGTTGTGAGCCTGCAGGGTTGGGGGCTCCCCCAGATCCTGTGGGCCCCCTGTTTGGGGATCTCCCTGCCCATGGGGTCTCCTGGTAGTGGCCATGGTGGGGCACTGGGGACCCTGGTGCTCAGTCCTGGGGGAGCTGCTGTCGGCCGTGCCCTTGGGAACGTGTCCCCTCCCGCCAGCGCTTGTAAACAGGATGTGGCTCTGTCCCAATCCAAGCTTCCCTGTCCCTCATCCCAGCCCCACCACCCCATGAGGCCACCAGTTCCGGGGCCGCTGTGCATGGACACCCTCCGGTCCCTGCCTGCACCGGCTCCGGGATGGGCAGAGCCAGGGCGAAGGGGTGTCGGGGTCCCAATGCGTGTGAAGACACAGGCTGAGCATGGCCAGGGAGCTCCTAGCCCCTCTGCATGACAGCTCCTGTTGCCCCCAGCCCTCTGCCCGTGGGGTTGGGGGTGGCCGTGGGTCAGGTCCCCTGCCCTGGCTGTCCCCTGGAGCTGCAGGGGTGTTGAGACCTGTGAGTGGGTGGGCAAGAGGCACAGGCAGACCCCTGCCCACCACCTGCCTCCCCCC